TATATATATATAATTAGAGGTCCAAATGACAATCACCTGATCTATACGTATAAAAAGGGTGATTATTGTGTCTCACCTTGTTTTTAGGATGAATGGCACATTAGGAATTGCTTGAAGATATTGCGCCGCATGCTTTCAGGAGAGAGCACATATTTAGAGAGTTCAAAGATATGTTTGCTAAAGAGTGAAGAATGTCTATTCAGTCGCTTTAGACTGTCGAGAGAAGTCCTTGTTGATTTATGTAACTCTCTGGAACCATACCTAAGCCATCTCACAAACCACTCTCACCCTATAGCTCCTCATCTCCAAGTTCTAGCTGCCATCGGATTCCTTGCCACAGGAACATTCCAAAGGGAACTAGGGGACCGAGCAGGGCCGTGCCATTCACAAGGCGGTAAAAGCTATTGTAGGGCTTATGACTACACATGTAAAATTTCCTTATTACTTGACACACCAGATGGTAGTTAAGAGGGGTTTCTACGAGATGAGTGGCATACCTAATACCACTGGTGCAATAGACTATACCCATGCCACGTGCGTATCAAAGCACCATCTGCAAATGCAATGAACTATGTGAATAGAAAAATGTATCACTCCATCAACGTTCAAATAGTCTGCGATGCGAGTTGAAGCATACTAAACGTTGTTGCACGCTGGCCTGAAGGAACTCACGATTCTGTCATTTTACAGAACAATTATTTAGGACAGCGCTTGGGAGCTGAAGCTGGAGCTGGCAGAGAAGCATGGCTTCTTGGTGAGTAGATGTACGCGCCCAGAATATTTTATACAGTTAATTAATTTACATGTTAATTATCATAATGGTTATTGTAGGTGACCGGGGTTATGGTTTAAAAACGCGGCTCATGACCCCTCAGGAACCAGAAACATGACTGTGTGTGCTCAGTGATAGAGCGCACAATCGGGTTACTCAAATTACATTGGATGTGCTTGGATGCAGCTGGTGGAATGCTCTTATACAAGCTGGAGAAAGTCTGTCAAATTGTTTTAGCATTTAGCATGCACAAAATCACAATGGCACAGGGTGGAACCCAAGCCCAGTCTGAACCTGTGTGTGACGAGATGCAGATGAACGCTCCTGCCCAAGCAGTGTTCCAAGCACGCCTACAACTGATACAATGTCTGTAGTGTGATACAACATCAACATGTAAGAGTGGTTTGTATAACACAAAAAAAGCTTCCAAGTTACCCAAATATCTTGATTAAATATTTACTCACGTACAGATGTATTTATTTGACTGCTAAGCAATGCTAGCAACCCGTAGACCAGCTGCCACATCTATTATGGCAATAATAATAGGCATCTTGACTAGCAAGCACCTTGTTGGTCAGAACTCGTGCTTGCTAAGTAGATGGCTGGACCTCAGCTTCTTCATTCCCATCTGCTGTGTGCAAAAGCCGGTGGAATTTTGATGCTGTTGTGATGCAAAATACTTAAACATACATTACTTAGACTAAATACATTTTTTTTTGGTTCATGAAACTTACCGTGTTGTATTTGCTCCTGTATTAGGTCACTCTCCCCCTCACTCCTTTCTGAAAGACCTCTCAAGCTTGATTGTCCTATTATTGTAGCCAGCCATCCTTTCATCAAAGTCAGTTAGATCAGGTGGCCCCTGGCCTCCATCCGTGTCTTTTTTCCTTTTTTGAAGTGAAATTCTTTTTGCATCAAGCTTCATATCAAACTCATATTTTTTTTTACTTCTGCAACTGTACAAATTTCTGGTGAAACTATTAACGACCTGCTTTACTGTATCCCATGCTTCTTCATTACCTGTTATGCCTGTGGACACACTTATGAACAGCACACGACAGCAAAACCTCAACAACACCGTTCATTATCAGTGAAGTTTTTCTTTTTGGTCTTTTCTGTTGTGACATACTTGTTTCTCGAGACAAGCGCTGTGTTGCGGAAAGCCCTTATATGGAGCTGGTTTGGGCATGTTTTATGCAAATTACTAATCTTGTGCACGTGGCGGCTCATTTAGAATACTTCCTATTTATCAATACAAGAATAAGGTTAAGAACAAATTCATGTGTTGTGAATTATGCGGCGCTTGTTGGTGAGAAGTTAAAATGTGTATATAAATACCTGGCAGAGTTAAAATTCGAACCGGATGGGAGGGTAAGATGTATAATTAATATTTTCCCAGTTATTCCAGAGGTGTTGCTATTCTTATTCATAGATCTGTGCCTTTTTCTGGCGGAGATGTAATCTCGGACCCTAATGGAAGTTTTGTTATTGTCACTGGTCAGCTATGTGGTACTTGTTTAATTTTGGGTAATGTATATGGCCCTAATTAAGACAATGATGCCTTTTTTCAGAGATTTGTATTCTCACTCTCAGATTTAGATGCTAGCCAGCTGATATTAGGGGGCTATTTTAACTGCTGTCTAAATTCTGTATTAGACCATTAATCAACCAGGCCCTTTGTTCAGTCTAAATCTTCTAAAATCATACATCTTTTTATGGAACAATATTCAGTTTCTGATGTTTGGCGCTTTTTTAACCCAAATACAAAGCAGTTTTCCTTTTTCTCACCCGTACTTTATTTCTTTTCACAGATTGACTATTTTATTTTCAATAATAAGTTGCTTTCTTCAGTCACTTCCTGTTCATATAACCCTATAGTGATTTCTGATCATGCACCAGTGTTGGTTGATATCTCATTACTTGGGCGGCAGATTCTGCGG